AGAAGGCTCAGCTGACCAGCAATGCGTCGATGCTAAGACAGAGATTTGGCTTTCCTTGGACACGACAACCCTATGAAAAAAGAAAACAAGCAAAAATCGCGGTTGCTGCGGTGCTTGCATTCCTCTGTGGTTTGCTCGTCAATAGCGCGGTATTGCGATATTGCGGTTATCGCGACAGCCCTATTCCCCAGTAAAAATATCTGGAACAAATTATTTAAAAATTTCACTTTTGTTAACAAGCAACATACAAAAAACTAAAGTGATGCATTGGGATAAACTGATGCAATATTAGTAACTGGTGAAATTAGGATTTTTTTCAATTTATCGGTAGACATTGAATCTATATTGACCGATACTGGATATTTAAACTGTGCATTTCCCCAATTTTTACATTTAGACTACCTTAGTCAATTTTTAACTTAATTCTTAATATTGTTACTAAATAATTAATGTAACATTTAGCAGAAATTAATCTCAATATGAATATTTTAATACTGTACATTATAATGTTGTGATGGCAAAATTCATTTAAAACAATTTTAGTTTTTATGGTTTTATTTATAAAAATGCATTTATTAAGATAAAATAGAACTGAATTTCAATTAGCCATTTATCATTATGGGTCATACAAATTTAATTATCAGTTTATTGCTTTCGCCAGCATTTTAATATCGATGTAGCCATAAAAAATAATTACATTTCATACTGAAGTTGTAAAAAAACATTTAACAAAATGAAAGCAGGGATTGTCTTAGGATAGTCTTTCCTGCTGAAAGTGACTTTCTATAAAAGATACATGTGTGACCTAAAAATCATCACATTGGTCTGACAAAGAATTGGTCTAACTAGATTTCTAAATAAAGTAAACATTAAAAATAATTGTAATAATAATAGTTATATATATATATATATATATATATATATATATATTAATGAGGAAAAAAAATTAACTTAAATGATTTTAGCAAATGGCTGCAATATAACAAAGAGTGAAAAATTTAAGGGGGTCTGAATACTTTCCGTACCCACTGTATATATAATTTATTTATTATATCATTTATAGTACAAATTAAAATCATAGGACACAGGCATTTATTAGGTTATCATCTGGCCATTGAAAAAAAAGTTTTATTATGAAATAATTATTGATTTACTGGTTAAGTGGGAGACAGTGATATCACAGTACAATATAAGAAAACGGACAAGAATGAAGGACAGCTCGTGCAGCAGAGGCTGAGCTATGAAATATTGCAGGAAGAGACTTCTGTGGTATAACCACAACCACCTAAATATATCGATTTATGCTTATTTGTTGACACATCTAAGAAGCGCTATTCTGTGGTGGTTGCTATAGCAACATTCTAACATGCAGCGAGATCAAAAAAGTTTGTGACTAAAGAGCAAGCTTCTTTTTTTTTTTTTTTCTTCCTAGAAATGAAAAAAATAGCCATGATTTAAAGCGAACGTTCATGCAGATGCAGTCACGTCCAACAGCAAGAAACAAAGCGAGTGGGAGGAGATGTCCATGACGCAACGGTGACGTCGCACCGTGTACGTCAAACTCTTTTTATTTAATAATATAGCTACAGAGATCGACACATTTGAATTTGAAAAATGATATAAGTGCTATATAATTAGCTGTTATATTCTTGTCAGTTATACCCAAAACTGTAATTTTCATGCAGAACCTAATATAATATTCATTGGCATATGTGTGTGTGTGTGTGTGTGATAGGTTGATTTGATAGATTTATTATATTTATTTATTAAATAAATTTAATCAGTTTAATGAATGGAGTTTTGGAAAAAATCAAATAGCAAAATAAGGCGTTGTTGTAGGGGTAGACATTGTTTTTTATGTAATTTGAGCTCTGTGTGTTTTTGGAAAAATTTACTAACTTTTACATGTTTTCCCCTTGATGACTTGTCCTGTATTGTACATGCCCTTCAACTTAAGGTGACCTGGATGTTATGTAAACATTGTCCTCTATTAAGCTGAGCATATTGATGACACCATTAATTCATTGAACAATTTCTGTCCACATGTGTTTATATCTTATCTGTGAAATTATAAATGGAAGGTCAAAGTGCCAATGCAGGGATCCTTTAGTGTCACCAACTGCCAGACAGCAGTTCTGAAATCAAGCATGCATACCTCCATCTACTGGACAAATGGGTAATTTTGAAAGATGAATAGGTAATGCAATATTATTATTATTATTATTATTATTTTATTTTTATTTATTTATTTATTTAAGATTTAAAGTTCAAACAAAATCATTTGAAAGGCAGAGAAACATCAGCTGTCATTCAAAATTATTTGGGGTTATTTGGGAAAAGCTGGACAAAAAAGTAAAGACAATGAGTAAACAAACATACAAATAAATAAATAGTAAGTATTAAAATAATAAAT